TCGGAAAAAAGGACGCGGTCTTTATAATCGTCAAAAAAACATCTACACACTGTTAGCACTTTACTGACGATAAGCAAAACAAGACCTCCTCAAATATTTTCACAACGGTTCTGTGCTGCCGGCATCCAGGTGCACCCTGTGACTTTCACCAGATCGTTGGTCCAGCCTGCCGAAACGTACGTTTTCCGATCCACTCAAAAACTTTTCTGCCCGAATGGCTATCAGTTCTATAAGCTATGTGCCCATCAACGTTACCTACTTAAGTTTGGCAATTTACCCGTTACTTTACTTTACTACAGATATCCTTCTATAGATATTCTGTTCATTTCAACAAAATATTATTTACATTTCAATTCAAAATAATTAGGAACGTTCTATTTCAGGACTACAAATTACAATCCACATAATTATAGGCAAAGTGAGACCACAAACGTCGAAGATAATGAAGGGAACCGAACGCCTACTCATCAAAAGCAAAATTACGAATTCATTAACATTTGAAGTTCATTAATAAAAATAATTAGTACGTAATCATTCCGCTAATAGGCCGTTTGCAAAAGGTTGAATAACTTGGTCAACTCCTGACAAACGATATTAAGTCAGTCAAAGGCCCGTAATTACAGTGGAAATTTAATTTTCAGGAATGGTCAGTCCGACGCTTTTGGAGAAAAGTGGCCCATCTCGAAAGTATGAAGAAACGATTTTATTATAAACTAGCTTTTGCCCACGGCTTCACCCGCGTGAAATTTAGTTTGTCGCAGATCGTCATAAATTATAGCCTATATGTTATTCTGGCTTATAAACAATAGTAGGTACTATAAAGTTTCATCAAAATCCGTTCAGTAGTTTTTGCGTGAAAGAGTAACAAACATACATCTATCCAGACATCCAAACTTTCGCATTTATAATATTAGTAGGATCAATATCTCTTGTAGTGTTAATCAGACTGATATTCAGACTCAACTTAAACGTATAATAGTAAGGAATAGCGACCAATTAGCTACAGCTCATAGCTGTCAACTTATGAATAGAAGAAAATAATGGACATTGGAAGGTGAATACATCCTGAAATTAAAATGCCGTGTTTCGGACGACTGTGGTAGCTCGTAAAGTATAAATAAATGCTTCTGCAGTAAATACTAGTTTCGATATTATGTGTTTTGAAGAATAAACATCCATTACTAACCATGTTTCCCCATATTATTTCCAACACATCCTGTATCTGGTATTAGATCCACGATTAAATACACTCGACATCAAATAAATCACACCTCCCGCGACAAGCACTTTCAAACGTATGCATCCCCACTTCCCACCAATATGGGCACCATTTAAAAACCTAGTTCTAAACTTCATTTCATTAAAGGAACGGTTTTTACCCCAAAAATGCGTCTTTAGAAGGATCCAGAGTCACTGCTTCAAAAAATAGGTAGTTGCGCTTGAGCCAAATTGTATGGCTATGAAACTGTTAAGTTAGGATTAATCGCTATCCATCTGTTAAAGAGGACACGTGAGATCATTATTTGATTTTATAACCATAAAAATTGGTCTAATTGATCCCAGAAGTGAGCACAAAGTGAAGTCTTTTTTCCAGTCACATTAATGGTATGTGTTAGTCATTTATTTAGAAATTAAATGTGTTTTTCTTTACGGATATTTATTGGGCTTTCAAATAACACCAATATTGTTGGGGCACCATGATTGTGTCAGAAAATCTTTAAAGTTCGCGTCGCAGAAGGTGCGATTTATTTGATGTTGAGTGTAGTTTTCCTTCGTTCTTAGAAGGTTCGCTCTTTCACTTATTAAAATCTAATTCTAGAAAGTAATATCGGTCGCCTGGCAAGTTTCACTTTGACAAATTTTTGAGTTAGTACATTATTCAGAACAAACCTCGAGTTGGTAACTTATTTTAACAAAGGGAGTGGAGAATTAGAAGTTACGGTCCAGTGGGCGAATCGAACGCTCTAACTATTAAGTTAACAACGACAAAGCTCGAGTTTCAGGGTTTTTCTCAGAGCTATTGGTAAGTTTTGTAAATAGGATTATGAGTTATTAGTTTTTCAGTGAGCAATTGAGTTTAAAAAATATATTTTTCGTAATGCTATTCGTCTTGCTCAATAGACTCAGGCCCAGTTTCTGAATAAAGAATTATAGCTTGACCGTGATCAAGGATGAAGTTTATTAAGCCATATAGCCTAAAATCTCAAATCAGAAACCGGGCCTCAGCATTACTATTTAATAGTAGTGAATAGCGGCCAATAAGCCACGGCTCATAAGCCATAGCTGTCAATTTAAAAATGGAAGAAAATAAAGGACATTAGAAACTTGAATAAGTACATCCGGAAAATATGCCGACGTGTTTTGGGAGGACACGTTTTATTTTATTGGTCCGATTGAACGATATAAAACGACTGTGGCGGCTCGTAAAGTATAATGACTGTTGCTGCAGTTGTTACCGAAATGAGAAGATTGAAATATAGGGATACGGCACCATCACCATTGTTCTAATACGTTATTATAGCATGTTCCTACTTCTTTTTATTTTGTTAAAGAAAATCCACCCTTCCTGCACACATTCCGCAAGGAAGTGAATTCACAAGATAGCACCCCCCAAATGTACAAAACACGGCGAATATTTATACCCTTTGTCCCGTGTATGAATTATTCCCCAGGAAGCTCCCTTTCTTCCCAATTTCAAAGATTTATTATGGTTGCTGCAACAATTACAAGGGGTGCCCGTTTGCGTCCTAATCAAATATGAACTGGTTTTGCAATCACTGCCGTAATAGAACTGTAAATGGGCTGTGTCGAATTATTACACTTTTCATTGTTTGCACTGGTTTGTGTTAAGGTGTATTCACATTCAAGTCGTGCGCAAGACAGGTAGCATAGACGCGCATTTATTTCAACACTTTTTACCTACGATTAAGAGTAAAAAGGGTAAGAAAAAACAGAAATTTCAGGAAGTTAAATGGAATTAATTTGATGGAGGACTGGCAGCACTTTAGGACCTAGCTAAAACTTGTTTCAATAGTTTTGAGGCTATTAAAATGATCTGAAATTAACAAAATACCTTTGAATGATCATATTTTGTATTACCAATTTTTATATCCAACAAAGCCATGTGGTCCCAACCCCCACTCTGACGTGAATGACTTAAAAAGCAACTAGAGACACATTTTGCGAACATCAGGTCTCCCCAACTCGACGTCTTCAGCCAAAAGACGTCCACTGCTGGACAAAGACCTCCCCCAAGGTTTTTCACAATGCATGGTCCTGCGCTGCCCGCAAGCCAAGCTCTTCCCGCGACCTTTACCAGATCGTCGGTCCATCTAGTAGGAGGCCTTCCCACGCTACGCGTTCCAGCCCGTGGTCGCCATAATCTACATACCTGTAGCACAAACAGCACACTAAGGAACACCATTAGCGCGGCCGCGCACACGGCGAGTGTGACCACTCGCTGTTGGACTGTAGCGCCGACCACTCCGCGATGCGACGCTTGCCCGCGCCCGACGAGTTTGACCTTAGAGCTCTCATAAAACAAATGTTCTACATACTTGTAGCACAAACAGCACAGTAAGGAACACCATTAGCGCGGCCGCGCACACGGCGAGCGTGACGACGGTCGCGGGCGGACCGCTCGGCGACCACTCGCTGTTGGACTGTAGCGCCGACCACTTGCTGTTAGACTGTAGCGCTGACCACTCGCTGTTAGACTGTAGCGCCGACCACTTGGTGTTAGACTGTAGCGCCGACCACTCGCTGTTAGACTGTAGCGCCGCTCACTCCGCGATGGGCTCTTACCCGACGAGTTTAAACCTAAAATAACTATAAAATGTTCCACATACCTGTAGCACAAACAGCACAGTAAGGAACACCACACGGCGAGCGTGACGACGGTCGCGGGCGGACCGCTCGGCGACCACTCGCTGTTGGACTGTAGCGCCGACCACTCCGCGATGCGCCGCTTGCCCGCGCCCGACGAATTTGACCTTAAAGCTCACATAAAACAAATGTTCCACATACCTGTAGAACAAACAGCACAGTAAGGAACACCATTAGCGCGGCCGCGCACACGGCGAGCGTGACGACGGTCGCGGGCGGACCGCTCGGCGACCACTCGCTGTTGAACTGTAGCGCCGACCACTTGGTGTTAGACTGTAGCGCTGACCACTCGCTGTTAGACTGTAGCGCCGACCACTCGCTGTTAGACTGTAGCGCCGACCACTCGCTGTTAGACTGTAGCGCTGACCACTCGCTGTTAGACTGTAGCGCTGACCACTCGCTGTTAGACTGTAGCGCTGACCACTCGCTGTTAGACTGTAGCGCCGACCAACCACCCGCTGTTAGACTGTAGCGCCGACCACTCGCTGTTAGACTGTAGCGCCGACCACTGCGCGATGGGCTCTTACCCGACGAGTTTTTAGCCTAAAATGACTATTCAATTTTCCACATACCTGTAGCACAAACAGCACAGTAAGGAACACCATTAGCGCGGCCGCGCACACGGCGAGCGTGACGACGGTCGCGGGCGGACCGCTCGGCGACCACTCGCTGTTGAACTGTAGCGCCGACCACTCCGCGATGCGACGCTTGCCCTCGCCCGACGAGTTTGACCTTAGAGCGCTCATAAAACAAATGTTCTACATACTTGTAGCACAAACAGCACAGTAAGGAACACCATCAGAGCGGCCGCGCACACAGCAAGCGTGACGACGGTCGCGGGCGGACCGCTCGGCGACCACTCGCTGTTGGACTGTAGCGCCGACCACTCCGCGATGCGACGCTTGCCCTCGCCCGACGAGTTTGACCTTAGAGCTCTCATAAAACAAATGTTCTACATACTTGCAGCACAAACAGCACAGTAAGGAACACCATTAGCGCGGCCGCGCACACAGCAAGCGTGACGACGGTCGCGGGCGGACCGCTCGGCGACCACTCGCTGTTGGACTGTAGCGCCGACCACTCCGCGATGCGACGCTTGCCCTCGCCCGACGAGTTTGACCTTAGAGCTCTCATAAAACAAATGTTCTACATACTTGCAGCACAAACAGCACAGTAAGGAACACCATTAGCGCGGCCGCGCACACGGCGAGCGTAACAACGGTCGCGGGCGGACCGCTCGGCGACCACTCGCTGTTGGACTGTAGCGCCGACCACTCCGCGATGCGACGCTTGCCCGCGCCCGACGAATTTATGCAGTCGCCTTGGAATAAAACGATATGATTAAAGCCCGGTCTGTGAGCACGTAGAATTTTGTCCAATGACCCCAAGCTATCTATCCTTATAGCTCGCGCGTAATTATATTGCTGTCGCGACTGAGCGACGGGCGCCCGCAGTGAGTGTGCGAGCGCGACAGCTACATAATTACGCGCGAGCGATAAGGATGGGTAGCTTGGGGTGGGGTCATTGGACAAAATTCTACGTACACTGACGCCCGTATTCACAAACGATGCTTGGTTAAGTGAAGCAGCAAATCGAATGCACAGCGTTGAATAGAGCTCCGTGATTAGTTCGTATGTCACCCTGTGCTTTCACGCGCACTGTGAAACCTCATAGTAATATTTGTGAATTGAATACGGGCGTTAATTTCGTTTCAGAAATTATTTTGCTTATATTCAGTTTTCAACATCGAACATTCTTGATAGTGTTTAGGAATATTGTAAAATCGTGTATTCGTAACATAAAAGAAAAAACAAATAAGCCTCTTACTGCACCTGGTTGACAACAATAACTTGAAATTAGTTGAAATTTAAAGGACTAGCTGACCCGGCGAACTTCGTACCGCCTTAGCGTAGAGATTTTCTTAATATTTTTTTCCGTAAGAACCATCCTTGGACTTCCACAAACATTAAAAAAAAAGAATTATCGAAATCGGTTCAGCCGTTCACACGTGATGCCGTGACAACGCGAAACGGGTTTCATTTTTATATATATAGATTACAGAAAATCAAAAATAGTACAAAAAACCTCACCAGTAGTGTCAGGAAATGAAAAAAATATAGAGCACAAAAATTGAAGTAGAACTTACCAGTGTCAGGATGACAGTGACAGCAGTCGGGCGCGGGAGTGGTGCTTGCTGTATTTCCGCGCTCCGCACAGCACGGCACGCATTGGTTGTTTAGTCTGAAAGAACATTCAGCTTTAGAAATCTATCATTACTAGCGGCCGCCCGTGACTTCGTACGCGTGGATCCCGTTTTGCCCCTTCCATCTATCTTACGCGGTTTAGATTTTTTCATACAAATGTTTTTTCCCGCTAACTCCCGTTCCATGGGAATTTCGGGAATTCCTTTCTTAGTGCACCTCTACGGTTCCTTCCAAATTTTAAGTACCTACGTTTAGCCGTTTAGGCTGTGCATTGATATGTCAGTCAGTCAGTCAATTTCTCCTTTTATATATTTAGATGACCATGAAGAGGAGGTTTTATTGCAGGCAAACAACCCTTTTTAATTTAACTTAAAGCAAAAGTAGAGGATTTCTCAAATAGAAATTAATAATTTCGAATGTAACACAGAATTTTGCATGTGACTTTAACATACGAACTCTACATAATGCTGAAGGTCTGGTTGACTGTACCTAAAATGTACAGCTATCATGATCACACATAAACCATTAAAAGGGAATAAAAAGTTTACTACATTAACAAAATCAACTAAAAAAATAAACTCAACATATTATTTTACTAGCTTTCCGCCCGCGGCTTCGCCCGCGTGGAATTTTGTCTGTCACAGAAAAACTTTATCGCGCGCGTCCCTGTTTCAAAAACCGGGATAAAAACTATCCTATGTTCTTTCCCGGGACTCAAACTATCTCTATGCCAAATTTCATCAAAATCGGTTGCGAGGTTTAAGCGGGAAAGCGTAACAGACAGACAGACAGACAGAGTTACTTTCGCATTTATAATATTAGTTGGGATATGACAGCATAAAACATTCGCGGAAAGTGCGAATTTAGAAATAAACGTCCGAGCGTATTCTTGTAATGGCAAAATAAAAACGGTCGAGCCCACCACCCCAAGTCACTTTTGGTCTATCTGCAATGTGCCGTGGCCATTTCACTCGAATAAACATTTGCATTTACTTAGACCCTACTCCGTCACGCATACAAATGTAATTCGCGTTTAAAATAACAGTGCGTCATAAATAGGTAGATGGAAATATCTTGGCAAACATTTGGCGAGGGTTTCCTTAAGCCCTTTTATAGGGGCTTAGGGCCCTTGAACGATCTCAGCGCCCTCTATGTCAGTAGGACTAGGGCACTTCAATCAGAAACGCTTTTGTACCTTAGACAGCCGAGTTGACGTGAGAAGCGGAAAAATAATCTTTTACGTTACGTTACTCGTTTCGGCGGCTCTCTTGAGGAGCGTACGGTAAGACGTTTGTTCATTTTGATCTTTCGAGTGGTTTGGGCACTTTTAAAATTAATATTTGAATGTTTGTTAACGTAAATATAAACATACAGTTTTGTACCAGGTATTTGATGACTTTTAAATACATATCAGAGTAGCAATTGAGTATAATACGCCAAGTGTGCGGATTTCTAATGCAGTGTTTTATTTAATTTAATTTTCAATTTGAATGACTTTAAAGGTGTTGAAAAATACCTACCCCAATTAGGCTACGGTCACCAGTAGCGATGCAAAACAATTAACTCGACAAACTCATTTAACATAAAAAGCACTATTTCAAAAACTTAAGACTCGTTTAGTCTCTAAGAGGTCTCAAGAAAGCAGCTGAACATGCCAGGGCCGCTCTACGTTTAGCAGGAAAAGTCACAATAATCAGTTCCATAGAATCCATAGTAAAGGTTAGTGTAATTACTTATCAAGATGAACTGGCCAGGGCCGGAGCTAGTTCTGCAGGAGGGGTCACAACTCTTGCAGGTCCCAGTAGTGGCATCATTGTACTGGGAACCGAGGCACTCCATACAGAGTCCTCGGTCGAGCATAAAGCGAGAGGACGGGACTTGTATATCGAACAGTTAATACTCACTTGTCGAGTCTGAGAGGTCTTGAGCAAGCAGTGCAGCTGAACTGGCCAGGGCCGGAGCAAGTTCTGCAGGAGGGGTCACAGCTCTTGCAGGTCCCAGTGGTTGCGTCATAGTACTGGGACCCCAGGCACTCCATACATAAGCCTCCGTCGAGCATGAAGCGAGGAGGGCAGGACTTGCAATGGAGAGGGCCTGAGCCGTCACACTCGCGGCAGTAGTGGTGACAGTGCCGGCAGCCGCCGACGCTTTGGTAGAAACCTGTTGGAAATTATCGAGATATTAAACTGCTTTTAACGCTCTATAAATGTGAGACCCGTATATGATAAGAAGATAGACAAAAACAATATTTAAAACGACTGTAAAATGAATATTCCTAAATTGTTAAATAAAATTCATCATTAAGGGCAAAGCACACTTGTAATCGGAATCTCGAAGCGGTCAGTATTCTTTGTATAAATCTTCGTACTGCAACGCGCACACATACCGTAACGTAAACGCCTCGCCTTCCAGCGAAAGATCGGTGTTTATCCCTTTCCGGGTTGATAAGTGTGCTATGACCTTTACACCTACTTTGAGCGCATAGCTCCATGTGTGTACAAACGTGACCTTAAACTAAAGTACGATCTTATACAAATACACACGTCGTGTGGAGCACGCTTCTCGCACCCCACGTGGCATGTTAATCTTGATTATACATTCATCTAAAACTATAGTGGTGGTAATAGTAACTGAAAACTGTAAAATGAGGGTAGTTAATGGATCGATGTTAATTGATTTCACGTTTAAGATAGTTCTTTGAAACTGATCCTAATTGGAGCACTCGTTACCATTAATGACAGCTAACTAATAGGTGATTTAGAAAATACCTTTTGCAATGTAAGCAAGTGTTTTAGTACTAAGCCGTGGCCATAATTGGTGATCGAAATCCATTTAACATTTTAATTGGATGCTATTAGATCAAATTAAAATTTGAAGGATTAAGATTTTCTCAGATATTCTTGGGTATTAATGCGAAAAGATGAAAATGTAACTCTTTTAAATTTTAATAAATCCTTTCTTTTCCTTCAAATACCTGTTAAACATCCAAGTGAAAATTTAACCTTGTAGCATTCCCCCAATGCTTAAATCTATTTTCAACGCTATATTTAATTCTACATTATTCGAAATTAAGAAAGAAAAAATATTTATTTAATAGAAACATGTCAAAATTATTCTTGAGGGCAGGAGGCGCCCTGGTCGCCTCGGGGACCGATGCAGGTGCGACAGGAGAGGTAGCATTTGTCAACCCTAAGTCGTCGCATGAGACCACGGTAACAACTGATTTCTATTGTCTCGATACACTGGTACTTGAAGAGCTGATTAAGACACTGTAATCTTAATGTTTACCTTGAGGACATTCAGGGTGGCACTCGCCCGCGGCCAACCGCCAGCCTTGGGGGCAGGAGGCGCACTGGTCGCGTCGGGGACCGATGCAGGTGCGACAGGATAGGTAGCATTTTGAACAGGTGCCGCGGTCCGCGTAGTACCTGCACAATGGAGAATTTTTATTACATTGATTCTCAGATGATTGGCGTAGTAGTTTGCAAACTGGATAGTACGGTTCGAATGCCACTAAGGACAATGCGATTAGCACCAGAATTAGTGAGAACTCGAAGACTTAAGGCGCTTTCAAAGCTGCCAAATGCCACGCGGTAACAGCGCGACAGCAGCTTTGTGGCGGTTTGCACAAAACTATTTTACGTGACTATTAAACATCAATACGAAAAAAGAACTAAAAATCATTCAAAAACCTATATCAAACTAAAAAACAGAGTATGAAAACCAAATTTTGGCGAACATTCGTGGAATTTTGAAACAGAAGTAAAAAATAAAATGTTCGCCCTCTAGGCGAGCTAGCAGCTGAAGTAACATACAAGCATTACATATTTTATCCGCTAAAAGTCAAAGTTGCAGCATGAAAAAGTGTAACACTCGAACCTTCTGAGTCCTGAACATTGTATAAAACAGCGTTTCTCAAACTTTACCGCTGTCCACGCTGATTCAAGTGACTGGACCGTGATATTAAAATAATCACAAACGAATACGATATTCAAGAATAAAGTTTCTCATACAAGTCATACCTATTTGAAAGTTTTATAGGCCTAGAAGTGCTTCTGTCTGTAACGTTTGATGCTAGTTTTAAAAACACTATTCACGGGACCAAGAAATACCTACAGCGAAGGTTCATCAGATGCTATGTATTTACTTTTCCGAAGAGATTTAAAAACCTAAATTGTAGAGACGACATCAGTATGCGATCTTATGTATGTATGGTCGCAGAATTGAGTGCTTACTAAAATTTACAGTCTGATGAGTTGTCAACTGAAACTTTTGTAACCATTACAAGGTTGGGGAACACCTTCCACCTTTGGGAACCGTCGGCATAACGAACGCTTTTAGACGCGACAGAGGGAGCGTCGTAAACCGGACCCAGAGTACAGATTCGCGGAGTGTCGAGTTACTGTATCTCACTGTAAAAACTCCGCGGCACACTCTTGCGATATTATTCTTTAAACATATAGACGTAAGAGTCAGTGTTGCACCCACGCGGTCACTTTTAACATGTTTGTAAAGTGAAAAATACGTACGTATGCTCGCACTAACAAAAACATGGTTATACCACACTGGAAAGAGATAAATGTGGGAAGAACTAGATATGCTTTAAAATATGTTTGTTTTCTCAATTTAATAGGAAAAAGTTTGCTGTCCATGGAGAGAAACTTGTCTTAAGTTAGTTTAGAGAATAGCGCAAAAGAACTGCGGGGCTATTCTCGCTAGCACCGTTTTAATATTTTCGAATCTATTTTCCCTCTCACTCCAAGCGAGAAACGAAAGCGACAGAGAAAAATGAAAACTATGTATTACCCTTAGTAATAATATGCCAAAACATTTAATAGAAATAGACATTGAAGAAGGAGACTCCAGTTCAAGCAACAGCTTTCAATTGAAAGATAAAACTAAACTTGAAGGCGTAAGTTTCTGAATTAAGGGACAATAAATATGTACTAAGATAAATGTAGAGACGCCAAAACGCAATTTAGAATCCATCTGCTATTATTATATGACATTGAACCAATAAACCGAGTTTATAACCTGTCAGTCAAGCCTAAGTAGGTCTAAGTCTTATTAATTATCCCAAAGTTAACTAAGTCCGTACATTAAAAACACGAATACATTATGGTAATTTACGCAATACATGTCTCCAAGAAGCTATTCGTTCGCCACAAACATTTAACTTGGGGGACTTTTCAAGACCAATAAAAACTTCGGAGCGAAATCAAAATGGCTAGGGCATCGCGGCCTTTACCCGTTTCGCACCACGAGTGATTCGGACCGCGGTGCGAACCGGCAAAAATCTCTTTTTGATAGATGTCTTTCACCGCGTAGTGTGAATCGACATGTTTTTTTCCTGATGGGCCGTGATAGGCAACAGTTACTTATTTATGTTCATTTACATTGTTTAATAAGGGTTGATTGGCACAGAAAGAAGAAGAATCACGCACTTTTTCCATAAAGTACAAACAAGCGTAAAAATAACGGGTTGGGTTGTATACCCTGGTCCAAATCGACCCATTGCAAATGATTTCTTGGAACATTCACTCCGCCCAAGTACTACAGTGCGTAAAGACCAATTCAATAACAATTATCTTCAATTCGCACCGCGGTCCGAATAACTCGTGGTGTGAAACGCCAAAAGACCCTGCACCACAATCTTAGGGCATAACCGCGCTCTCACAAACAAATGTACAATATTACTCTGAAATTACTTTCGCCATTGTGCCCGAGGATTACTTCGGAATAGCTGAACCGTGATGATTCGGTTAAATCGGGATGACCTGGTCGTTTCAATAAAAATAAAGCGTAAAGCGTGGGATTGTGCACAAATCAGTCGGCACGAAAGTAACTGCAGGTTTGTTGTGGCGTGTAACAAAATGATGAAAAATTTTAGGAGTATAGCAAACACTCCCTTTTTGGAGTCGCTTTTCGTTCTTTCGTTTCAGCCAAATGACGTCTAGCTAGTCTTGATAAATCGTTGATAAAATGTTGTAACCGCGATCTCTTACGCTCCGTGTAGAGGCCCTGGCTGCATTCAGCTATAAATCTTCTAAATATATAAAAGGAGAAACTGACTGACTGACAGATCAACGCACAGCCTAAACGGCTAAACTTAGGCACTTGAAATTTGGAAGGGACGTAGCTTAGGTACCGTAGAGGTGCACTAAGAAAGGAATTCCCGAAATTCCCACGGGAATGGGAATTAGCGGGAAAAAACATTTGTATGAAAAAATCTAAACCGCTTAAGATAGATGAAGGGGGTAAAACGGGATCCACGCGTACGAAGTCGCGGGCGGCCGCTAGTATGTTATAAAACTTACCCATCAGCACAAGAAGTGCGGCAAGCACCGGATTGGAGTCTCAGAGTGCCTACACACGAGGTGCAGTTCAAGCGAGACACGCAGTCGGTGCAGCCGTGGATGCAGCGCGAGCACCGACCTGCCTCCGCGTAGTAACCGTGGCTGCATTCGGCTACACACCTACGAGAAAAAAAACACAAATCAAAATTATCTGAAATGTTGATTGATTTTATTGTTGATTCAGAATAAAGATCAGTCGATCGATCGACGCTCTTATTCTATGTAACATTGAGTTTGAAACTCACCTTTAGGAGTATCTAAAGATGATTTTCACAGGCAAACTACAGACTTTTTGAATGTCAATGCATTAAACCGATTAGGTATTGGCCGATTTCTTGGAAAAATTAGAAGACGACCAACTTATCGGCCGCCTAAAAGTCTCTAGTCTGCGGGAAGTCTTAGCTTTCTCTTGTTATTTTGCTACAAACAATTCGAAGAAGAATTTTATTAACCTTACACCGAGCACAAAAGCATTTCTGACAAATCACAGAAACCTGCCAAAAATTACCAATGTCAGTCATTGTATCCACTACCTTTGTACGTTAATCCTTATTTATAACGTGCGCGTGTGTGAGATCCATTCGGCAGACGGTAACTGAAGTCGGGCCGGCCGTGGTACACCGTTTTACGCTCATGGCGGGACGTGATCGGGTTTAAACGACGCCTTGGTTGATTCTTAGATGCGGCATTGTGACGTTTTATAGAGATATCGAGAGTCTATTGTTGCAATTTGCTATTGGATAGCTATGGGAGACTTTTTGTTATTGATAAAATTTCTCATGTCAGGTAAAATGCATGGAAATGGACGTTTATCTTTGAATTTATTTGGCAGTTTAATGGTCACTAGCAACTCGGAACTAGGTTTTCACTATTTTAAATTGTTTTACTGGCTTACTCACTGATTTGAGTGAAACCCTAACGAATTTGCTATCACAGCTTGCTGCTGCTAAATAAAAGTCATAGCAGAGTTCAGTGGCGGATTTACCAATAGGCCAAGTAGGCCAGTGCCTAGGGCGGCAGATTAAGAGGGGCGGCAAATTTAGCAAATTTAGCAAATTTTTTTTACAGGAAAAAAATTTACAGTTATACGTGTACACAATCCATATATAAATAAACATATAGTAATATATACTTAGGTACTATGTGATCATGAATTTTATAATATTCCAATAGCGTTTCAATAAAAATAAAATACTCGTAACACAGGATCTTCGGAGCCTAACACGAGCACCATCTCTCCACAACTTCGTGTAATTGTTTTACAGGGTGGCCCAGAAGAAAATTCACTTTTGAAAATTCAAGGAAACGAAAGCTGTACATTTTTGTAGAACTTTAGGTACCTATTGCAATTTAAAGGAAATTTAGTGCAATTTATTTTTAAATTTACTATCTTTTATAAATTTTATCGTACATGTGATTCCCTTGACGTTTACAACATTCGGTCAACATACATCAAAATTTTGGAAAACTTTCGTAAGCGCTCCTGCACACGACGCCGCTACCGCGCCGCCGCCGCGCCTTCGCCGCGCCTTTGCATTGTTTATACGCACCGCGTGAATAGCGCTGCCGCGCCGCCGCCGCGCGGCGATGAACAGTGAACAATGAACAGTGTAGCGGCGCGGCAACGGCGCGGCGGCGGCGCGGTGGCGGCGTCGTGTGCAGGAGCCCTTAAAGTTACCTCAAAATGGATTCAGGATGGATGAATGCTGCAGAGTTTTTAGATTATTAGAGTACCTATACTCTGCTCATAAGGTAACCCCACAAAAAGAAGTCTGCTGGAATGAGATTAGCGCTTCTTAGAGGCAGTGAGATTTTTCACCCCTGCTTAATTGGTTTGTTGCATTGAAAGGATGATTAATTTTTGAGAGCGCTATACTGGTAGGTTGAAAAGCTTTTTGATTTCAAAGCTGCAAGATTCGCAAGGTTATGACCGGAGCGCTTGGTTTCATCAAGATGGGGCTGCGTGTCACACTTCAACTGAGAGCATTTAGATGGTAAGAGACATGTTCCCACAAAAAAAATATTTCAGGCAGGGGTGACATCTCCTGGCTACCAGGAAGCCCTGATCTCACTCCAGAAAATTATTTTTTGTGGTGTTACATTAAGAATAGAGTATACTTTTATAATCCAACAACCATGCAGCAACAGAAGCTGAGCATTCGGCAAAAAATTGAAAATAGGTTTCGAGGTGATTCTGACGAACGCATTCCAAGATTTTGATGTATGTTGTAAGCGTCAAGGAAATCTCCTGGGCGATGTAATTTAATAAAGGTAAATTAAAAAATAAATTGCATTAAATTTTCTTTAAATTGCAATAGTTAAAGTTCTATAAAAATGTACAGTTTTCGTTTCCTTGAATTTTCAAAAGTGAATTTTCTTCTGGGCCACCATGTATTACCAAGCCTTGGTCTTTCTGTTTACCTTTAAGTAGTTCTTAGCTAATTATACTGGATATAGCACTTCGCATGGCTCTGTGCACACCGGTGACAAATTGATCAGGTGAGAGAAGCTTTTCTTGCTTAAAACGGGTTAAAATTTAAAAACTATCTACGATCTACTTTAAGTCAAGAAAAGCTTAATGCTTTATCTCTTTTGTGCATAGAGTCAGAACTTATGAAAAAGATTTCATACGACGATATAATTAATGATTTTGCAAATTTAAAATCGCGCAAAAATAATTATGTAAAACTTATTTAATCTCATTGTCTGTCACCATTAACTGGATTGTTAACATGTTATATTTTAATAGAAATTGTTTGTATTGTTTTTAAACTGTTAAGTGCAATAAAAAATATTTAATCCTCCGTGTACCTATGAGGTGACTAAAAGTTACGTCCCGTACCAGGTGGGGTATGACATGACATACCCCAATATACAAAGTGATAAAATTTTCATTGAACATTTTTTTAGGTGGAATTTAATATTTAATCCCAACTAATATTATAAATGCGAAAGTAACTCTGTCTGTCTGTCTGTCTGTCTGTTACGCTTTCCCGCTTAAACCTCGCAACCGATTTTGATGAAATTTGGCATAGAGATAGTTTGAGTCCCGGGAAAGAACATAGGATAGTTTTTATCCCGGTTTTTGAAACAGGGACGCGCGCGATAAAGTTTTTCTGTGACAGACAAAATTCCACGCGGGCGAAGCCGCGGGCGGAAAGCTAGTATTGTATATTTTCGTATGCTAATTAGGTGTAAGAAAAACTCTGACCTGAAAATATGTACATAATATAACATTTTTATCATAAATAAACAAAAAGACACAATTTCTGTTGTTCTTGTAATTTAGGAATCAGTTTCTTATGTATAATTTTTAATTAGTGCCTTTAATTATGACAACCGTTTTATTTAACAAAGTACAATATATTGATTTATAATTAAAAACTGGAAGGGTATAAATTTATTTTGATTATCGGTTTTCAATTTACCACAATTCTGATGAAAGAAAATGAGTATGCTCAATGCATAAAATGGGAGCTTAACAATTTTATTTATTTATAAAATATGCTATTCCATTTCAGTAGCCCATAAATTGTATCATCAAGTATAAATTGTAGCCCATAAGTGTATGTTCACATACTTCTTCGGATCTCAGTACTAAACTTCCAGATTCGCACAAAGTCGTCCCATTTGACTAAAAGTGCTTTTTTTTTTAAATTATGGCGATTTTTAAAGGACTGGGGTGTGTCACACCCCACCTGGTACAGCGAGGGTAACAAAAACAATGTTTACTGACCACACATTATTTTGTCTGTGTTCATATAGTGTAGGTATTTTTAAGTCATGCCTTTCCCCACCTTATGATTAGTACATGCTGCTGTTTTAGGTCAACATTAAACTCTTCAGTACCTAAATAGCGGGTTGCAATAATAATCTAGTAACTGACAGAAATATCATTAAGTTCACAATCATACTAATAACGGGATTAAACTAACGTATTGAATTTCAAAAGTCAGTAGGGGCGGCAAAAATTGAATGGCCTACTGGCGGAAAAGTTGTAAATCCGCCACTGGCAGAGTTATTTAAATAGTACCTACTAGTAAATAAAACTTACTTGTAGTCTTGAAGAAGGTTAGGCGACGGGCAAGTGAGGCATTGCTCCATTTTGTCACCGTAGCAGGTTTCGCAAGCGGAATGGCATTGCTTACAGCTTTGCCCGTCTATGTATTCTCCAGAAACACAGCGGTCGGAGCCAGTTGGAACGCACTTGCCCTTTCTGTTTAACTCCCAGTTCAATTCGCAGGCGAGGCACAAGTTACCAGTGCATGCTGTGCAGCCTACTGGACACCTATGGACAAGTTTAGGATATAAGTTAAGATATACCTAATTAAATAATAAAATATCCGACTTATAAAAGTAATACTTACTTCATACACTCTTTGCGCTTCTTATCCGCGTAAAAGCCACTAGGACAAGTGGTAACACAGCGTCCGTCCAAAGCATAGCTAGAAGGGTGACAAGAGACACACTGCGTGTCCGCCGGGCCCTCACATGTGTCACATGATGTATGACACTTGGCACAAGAATAATCTTCTGTCTCGTAGAACGAAGGTGGACATGAGGCCATACAAGTCCCTTCATGAAGCACTAAATGATGTTCGCAAGAAGTACACACATCAGATCTTTCTGAGCACGTGGCGCAATGAGCAGCGCAAGGCCTGCAAACAGCTGAATCAGCGTCCTCCCAATATCCATCTGGACACTGCTGAAGACAAACAGCTAGATCTGCCACTAATAAGTGCTCTGGAGCACACGTCAAACAGGAATCTTGTCCTGGTCCCATACAAGTCTCACATGACTCGTGGCATGGCCAGCAAACACCTCCTTGGTTCGTGTAACTTCTTGGAGGACACCGCGAAAAGCAAGTGTCGTCCAAACGATAGTTCTTACAAGCTATACATTGAGTCGGTCCTTTTCCATAGCATCCTTGGGAATCGCATTCGGGGTCACATTCGTGCATGACGCGTCTGTCATTACTATCAGCGAGGACATTCTCCCCATGCGGTGAAGGGACGTTATGTCCGTCGAGACGGGCTACCGCCTTTTCCGGATCTGATCCGGCGGCGAATAATGTAGGAAAGTTCTGGTAATTGGCAAACGCGTCAGTGTTGTAAAAAGAATCCCCGATAGTGTCGTAACCGTCAGCTGCGGTTGGGAAGGCGAACGGCGGAGCCGCAGCCGAAGGGCGCTTCGAACGCAATCTTATCGGGTCGATGGATGTCCCATAGAATATAAGTTGCCATTTCTTGAGTATGCCAGGCTGGTTCACATGCCTGTTGCCTCCGTTGACAATTTGTAAAGTCCATCTGCCTTCGGCATGCTCGCCCCAGAAATGGACACTTAAGAATGGCCAGTCATCGAAGTTTGAACTGATGACGTCACGAGGCCTTTCGAATAGTAACGTGGAGACGGTTCCCATGGGAGATGTTAAAAGAATGCGTAGATTACCTCTAGGGAAAAATCTTAATGATATCTTGCATTGAACGTGTTCAAGATATCTCACCTCATTTACAGTTCCGCTGCAGCCGTTTACGTCCATGTGAACTGATAATGTATAACCAAACGTGGATTCAATTGGTTTGTCTTCGTTGAGCTCTTGTGACTTACAAATATGTTGAGGTGGGACGGATACCCATTGTTCGGCTAGGTTTACCATTTCTGTAGCATCCATTAAACCATAACCGAATTTGTGACTGACTTTTCTTTTGACGCCGTTCATGATCCAGCCGTTTTCTTTTTCTAGCGGTTGAGGACGGGACGTTAATACTACTAAGTATTGCATATCTCTCCAAGTGAGGTCAGCGTTGGCTTCCAACGCTAAAGCACAAATGCCTGCTGCTAAAGGTGCCGAGGCAGAAGTTCCTGTGTGTTCTACGGTGCAAATGTGATCAGGACGCAATCTTCCATCCATATCTACAGTGGCGACACTCTTGTCGTGACCAGGAGTCCCTGAACTATAAGTAGTAGCTAAAGTGGACGAGCATTCTTCTAAATACCAAGGTTTGTAACCGCCTTGCGTTGCGCTTGATATCGACAACGTGAATATACTGTTCGTGTAACCGTCGCAGTTGCAAGAGTCTGTATGTCTACCTCCGTTTCCAGATGCCCAAACGAATATAGATCCTTTGCCACGACGGCCACTGGTTACACCATAGATAAATGCTCTGCAAAGAAATGAATATTTTAGTATCTTTACCTCTTTATATATTTTTTAATATCTCCGACTTTTTGCTACTCTTTATGTAGAAAAGGGTATACTCACCTCCTAGCTAAAGGTCCTGGTCCATCAACAGTCTTTCCATCGTCTTCTGGTCCCCACGATGCACTGTAAATGTCTATGTGATCGGGATTGAGTCCCAAAGCTCTTGCTTCCACGGCATCATTGACTACTCCATCCAGCATTCTTACTCCACCTATACTCGCGTTGTACGCGATGCCGACTCCACAATACTGGTTGTACGCGACCGCTGCCACTTCACCAGCGCATCGAGTCCCGTGTTTATTGTCTCCATTGTCTTGTGGCATAGGATCATCATCATTGCCGTTGATGTCAGTTGAGGCGTTGGGATCCTACGAGGAATATTTTAGTCAGAGCTTTATAGTTTCGGAATTAATAACCTGACATTTCAATGGGTCTAAAATATAGAGCCTAATTCTTAGTTATTAAAGTCAATTCAAATAAAAGCCCAATAAACTTTCAGCTAGTACGAGTTCACCTATGTTATCATTTTCATTTAGTTCATCTCAAAAGCTTTTGTATGCGGGTACCTTATCTGCAGGAGACCCTTATAATTAAACTACTGATAAATTACTGTTGAACTCGGGATCACATCAGTTAATTTGTTAGGCCCTAAATACAATACATTATTCATAATAACAAGATAGATAATACCTACTTATGTACACTGGCGATACCATATATAGTAATTTATAGTTCAGTTGTTTTATGCCAACAGTTTTCTAGCAGAATGAACGTGAAAAATCGTAAATCTTAATAAGATAAGAAATACATATAGATTTCATATCGTATACGGTGATAGTAAAATAAAATTTTATTAGCATGTGCAGTGCAATTTATGCAAACATATTAAAGAATATATTTTTCGAATGGCAACATAAAATGGGGAGGAAAAACTTACGTAGTTTTGAGCAAGATCAGGATGATTGGTCTGGATGCCGTCATCAAGTATGGATACTACCACACCTTTCCCTGTGTAGCCCTTCTGCCAAGCTGGAGCGACATTCATATCCAATCCATCTTTCGCTCCGCCATTCTGTCGACAAGAACGAATGCATCAAACATAAAATCCAATTCATATGCATTTTACTATTACGTTTTATAGTTTATTGCAGACAAGAGATGAGCGGCAAAGGGATGCTAACAAAGCATAACGAGTGGAATCTACGTACAAAGCATCCGAGTTGTGCGTTATATCGAGGTTTGTAATTCTTGGAATATGAAGCGCAGTACTTCAGTAGGATTATGTTCTACGTAATATGAAATACAACTAGTTTTACGGACAATATTCGCTTTACCTTCCAGTTTCGACGCAATGTCTGGAATCTTGTAGATTTAGTTGCAGCAACTTTTTCCATTTTTAAAGTTTTTTTGACGCGAAACTACATTGATTCAAGCTTAGAATTGATCATAATATTGAGATATAAAGGCCTTCGCCCACGGTGACTTTTTGTCGCGCGTTTCGTAAACGAGCGATAGCATCGCTACTAACGCGCGTTAGTCGCATTTGCAACGCAATACAGAAGTGATGCCAACACGCTACGGCAGCGCGACTGCATCGCCGTGGGCGAGGGCCCTAAAGTGTGCGCAATTCTGTGCATTAAAACTGATCAGCTGTAAATACAGACTGATACGTATGATTATAAAGCCAACTCACAGAACGTACCAAGTACCACTGCTCTTTGAACAGCGGGTCGGGGAAGAATGGCGACGAGGTGAGCGCGCGATGATGCGTGCGGTGTGGAGGCAGCCTTCGAGAGATCTGTGAGTATAACGCCCCGTCATAAGGGTTGTAGTCGCGCTTCACTCTCCGCCGCTCGCGTTGCTGTTGTACCCATCGGACCTGCGGACAAAATATAAAATTAATCATCAAATAAATACATCATTAGCAGGTCATATACGTCTCCACTGTAGGAGCTCAACCCTCTAAGTTACCAGAGGTAAGTGGAGGATTTGATCTACACTCCCCATAGACTCGATGTTGGGCACAGAAATGGAAATAAGTTCGAGTTTAATAAACCTGGGACTTCCACCCACAAGGTGGATCGACGACATCATAAAGGTAGCAGAACGGCGCTGAACGTAGAGGGCAACATGGCAAGCATTGGGGGAGGCCTATGTTCAGCAGTGGACGTCCTATGGCTGAGATGATGATGATGATGATGATAATTAACCTGGAGTTTTTGTTGTGAACTCAAATCATAAACCACCGCAAACTTACTCGTATGAATTTATAAAGTAGGTAAAAAAGAATTGAATACATTAATACTTCATTACGTTGAAAAATGTCAACAGAGCTAAAAAAAAAATTACAGGGTTCATCTTGTGCAGAATTAAAAGTCGCTTAACGCGCCCCATGTGTGTGTTTTAAAGATCTAATAGGTCCTAATGGACCTACCGAAGCTTGGCTGACCGCCAAGTAATCAGGAGAGGCTCTTTAGACCATAATGTCGCGAACAATTAGGATAATATTAGTAAAACTGCTAGTAAAATGGAATGACTCGGTACACAATTTGAAGTTCATGTGAAAAGTGTTAGGCAAATGCCTCAATTGTGTCGTGCTGCTGTCAAATGACGTTAACTATAGTCGATGACACTCATACTTTTAATGCGCTGTCTCTCTCATAATTTGTATGACAACGACAAAATATTGTGCTTTCAAAGATAGGTTCTTTTTTTAGTAGTTATGCTTGAAATTATTTGATAAAGGTGTCAAATACTGAATCGTGGCACCAGAATGTTGATGGCATTTAAGGTATCTACGGTTAAAGGTCACCCTTTGGTCCCTTTGGTGAGGTCGACTTTACGAATAACTCAGATAAGGTTATTCGCGAAGGCATTCGACTGTAAGTAATATGTTATTATGTATTATAATAATCGTTATTGAGGAGCCATAGAATGGCTCATTTTGCCAGCTCTTCTATCTATAAACGACATAATATCGGCTCAATGATATTCTTGATATTGTTTTTCTATTTATTTAAGCTGACATAATGTTATGAAATTATCTGAGAGCTACACAAAGAACTGAAAGATTGGCCCTTAATAATAAAATGGAGGTAAATAAAGAGTTATTTAAGAGAGAATACTAAAATACAGTTATTATATGATTTTTCATGCAGATTTTTTATATTTGGCAGAATAAACACAGAGTGAGATCAAGCACACGCAAACCCCATGGAAGCACGAAAACATCAGACCACAGAGGGGGGTTCTGCGAAATAGTATTTTATAGTTAGAGAACCATAACTCTTCGGTGGACGCCTCTACATGCTTTTGGGTCCGAAATTGAGTGCGTAATTAACGTACAAAGCTGTAACAGACCGGAGAATTGCTGGTTTCATTGTGAAGAAGATAATGTGCCGAGTATACTTTAAGATTTTACTTATGATATAAAGTTTTATTAACATCTAAGAAGCTATAAATGACTTCTAACGTTTGAGTTTGATAACCAACGAAGTGAAATTCAGAAATTCTTAACCTAAAGATGCCGGGACAATTACGCCTGACATACTTCGCGGTAAACATTGCGGGTCAATGATACATTCGCCCTTAATTTCCCTATTCAGTTTTAAGAGCTGCGTCCTTGAGCGATGAAAATGGGATGGCATCTTTTTATACACCCAACAAAAATTAGGCCAGGCGAGTGAGGGATGGCGGTTTTTTCTATTAAATTAGAGCGGGACTGTGACACACAGTTGCGGCCGCTCGTTCATATGCCGCGCGCACCCTATAAAATACGTGTGCGTCCCGCTTTTGTTCCCGCCACATTTTTACTTGCCACCGCTGTTAATGAAATTAGAGTCCACAGTTAAGACAACGCAATTTGCCGTTGCGAATTTTTAACTCGACTCTTCGGGTTTACGAGTGTATTGCGCCGTTTTGTCGGACGATCCCGATCTCGGGGGATGAATTTCGTTAAGTGCGGGCGGCAATCGCGCGGCTACGCCATATCTTTAGTCTTGCAATTAGTGAAATGTATACAGTAATGTTAAGGGGACGCGGCTTAGCATAAAAATATGCGGTTGAGGACAAGCGGCTGTATTAGCGCTGTAGGACGCATAAGCAAGGACGGCGGTCGCCTGTAAGTAACTACAGCTCCCGGGGCGGCTAGTTTACGTTATTTCGAGCAACATTTTCATAGTCATAGCACTCAACGTTTATGCGATTATACGACATTTACAGAAACGGGACGCGAGCCAAGTTGGTGAGCCTACAAGCCGCCGCTACGCTGTAGCGTATTATCACAAGGGCTCTTTTATTAGGCGGTCCCTCTTTGATACGCGTAATGTGGTGCGCCACTTTATGGTCGATTTGAGATATACCCACATTTTCAATTGTCCTGTGACATTTCGCAGTCATTTTACTTAGATAACGTTTATCACTAAGAGTTTGTAAGGCCCGAAAGATAACGAGACATGTAAAGAGCCCCTTAGGGGCTTCCTTTTTATTTCTTTGACGTTCAAAGTTCCAAATTAAATAGACATTTCATTTTAAGATTACTGGGATGTCTACGTTTATTTCCAGGAGTTATCTATTTAATTTAATAATGGTTAATTTCAATCCGAAATTGGTAAAGGAAAGATATTTTTTTTCTTTTTTTAATGGAGAGCGCATCCTACCAGAATCTAACAGAATGCACGTCCCCATACGCCGTCTGTCGCGTTGCAACAACTGTGAAATTGCACTTTCCAAGCGCCACACTTAGTGGCCCATATTGAATGAAAATAACGGTTAATTACAATCCGAAATAGGGAAAGGAAAGATATTTTTTTCTTTTTTTTTTTAATGGAGAGCGCATCCTACCAGCATCTAACGCAGTGCACGTCCCCAGACGCCGTCTGTCGCGTCGCAACAACTGTGAAATTGCACTTTATAAGCGCCACACTTGATGGCCTAGTTAGCCCGCCGGGGTCGGTTTACAACCTATCCCAGATTTTCAATTTCCTTGCGATTTTCCGTTGTTGCATTTTTAAGTGTTCTCTTTAAACTTATTCGGACAGAAACGTTCGCGTTCGGAGTTAGAGATTCTCATTTGGCTGCAAAAGTTTTGGAATGGAAAAGTTTTTTCAGATATTGCTACTATAACAGTACAAGACTGTAATTGAAAGTGGATTGAAATGAACCCACAAGGGTTATAACATAACATAAAATAGCCCTGGTTAGACTATATGAGCCGTAACTGCTTGTAAAGAACACATTCAGAGACAGTAAGCTCATGCACTCTGGTCAAAAGCTAAACTACTTAATCTGCCTAACTTTTTTATCCATTCAGTGACAACTTTCTCCCTTATAGCAAACATTCCTCGTCTTTACTTCTTTGGTCGAGTTGTTTATGTGCCAAAAGGTTGATTCAAATATTTTTATTACTAGGACAACATGGTAAAGCATATTCATCTTCAGAAGACATCTTCGGAAGGTTCTACATTTTAAAAATCAAAATCAAAATCAAAATTATCTTTATTTGTTTAGACTAATTAAATTNAGGAGTTCTCAACCGTTCTCACTCAAGTAGAATCCATTCTTAATTCTCGGCCCTTGTGTCCGTTGCCTAATTCAGCTAATGATGAAATATTTTGTTTGACGCCAGCCCACTTCTTGATAGGCAGAACACCCATTTCGATACCTGACTATAATTATACAGACGTGCCAATGAGCAGATTGACACACTATCAGCAGTTGCAACAGCTGTACCAAAGCTTTTGGCAGCGTTGGTCGAGGGACTATATTGGACTGCAGAAAAGAATAAAACGTCACTTTTCCGTCAACCGAAGAAAAATATGGTTTCATTTGCTCTCTTCTAATACGAAATATTATGCAGAAATTCATTTGGTGACCCTTAAGAAGACGCATTTTCTCATGATGGAGTCTTATTTGGCCGTGTAGTCCAGCGTCCAGCTCGAAAATCCGAAGATTCTCGGAAAATACCAATCAAGGAGGGCGGAGGACACGCGCGGCGTACCAACGGTTGTTGAATTCACAACTTCTACGAACATTCTGCTAAACCAACGTTTGCTGTATTGGAAAACCAAATAGAAGGAAGGTCATAAAGGTATTCGAGTGGTAGTTGTCTTCAAGTAAGTGGCTGGTGTTATTTTTTACTTGGGTGTGTTATCGTAACCTACTTATTACAATTTTACCTGGTTCATAGTATTGTTTTCAATTAAATCATGGCGTCAGACTCTGACAGCGCTTCCACAGTAATGGAGCATGATTTGTTAAGAGATCTGATAAAGAAAAGGGGGTCTGAAAAGGGCAAATTAACGTTGTTTAAAAAGTACCTAGCCAAATTGGACCCCCAAGCTATTTCAGCTGAACAGATCATAGATCTCGAGCTACGGACTGACAAGGTTAGAACAGTATTTTCAAAATTCGAAAAAATCCAGGACAGAATTGAGACTCTCAGTACAGATATAGATAAAGAGTTAGAGGAGAGGGAGTGTTTTGAGAACTCCTACTACGAGTCAGTGGCTAGGGCAAAGAATTACCTAAACCAAAATAAACCCAATAATGCTTCATCCAATTCAAACCAGGACAGNATACTAAATTATTCAGGATTGCATTGGAATTATGCAAAGAGAATTTTAGAGCATTTGTTAAAAAACAAAAGTTATTGTTTGAGATGTTCTAAAGTAAAAAGCAAAGAACTGCAGAGAAACTCTCAGTAGCTGTGCGGCAGAGTACATGGGGTTTTGTCAGAAGCATGTAGAGAGAGGCTATATATTTGCAAAATTTGTAATGTGAATTGATAGGTTGTTGCAATGAGTTTATGCAAACACTTGGTATTGTTTTGATAAAAGTAAATTTAATTATTATTTTCTAGTTTTGTGTTTGTATAGTCTGTGAGATTGTAAATGTATAGTGTAATAGANGTTTGTATGGACTGTGAGATTGTAAATGTGTAGTGTAATAGATATTTAGATTATTTGCTATTTTGATATAGTGGGGGTGTTGGAAAGTATGTATATCAAAATAGAACAGTATTTTCAAAATTCGAAAAAATCCAGGACAGAATTGAGACTCTCAGTACAGATATAGATAAAGAGTTAGAGGAGAGGGAGTGTTTTGAGAACTCCTACTACGAGTCAGTGGCTAGGGCAAAGAATTACCTAAACCAAAATAAACCCAATAATGCTTCATCCAATTCAAACCAGGACAGTAATGCTTTTCAAATTTTTCCAGATTCAAATGCAATTAAATATCCTGATATTTCCTTGCCAAGCTTTTCAGGCAATATCACGCAATGGATTGAATTCAGAGACACCTTTGATGANCCCTATATTATAGCCGCCCTTGGGGGCGCTGTTTAATTTTTCATACAAAATTTTTCGATGACACTTTGAATACGCAACGAAACGAACTCGAAAGTTTTTCCTACTAGAGGTACTGATACTTTAGTCTAATATCTTAGTTCTTTTTAACTCGTTTACTTTCTACTGAATATTTTACTAAAAAGCTCAAAGTTCTCCAAGGCTCTCCATCTGTGAAAGCGCTATCATCCGCTTTTCCAGCTACGATTCCATCTCTACAATAGCAAAAGCTGTATCTTCGTCCAGGAAAGCTTTCTTAGAATGCAAGTAGAAAAATAATCCTTTTGCGCGTGAGTTCTCAACAATTTAATGTCCCACATTCTCCATCGTTTATAATGACTTTGTATCCCACTTGACAGCTGTCAAGTATGACAACTTAGTCCGTATAATCCGAATTGTCCAAATAGTGGGCATAGCTGGCGAGTGAGTCAGGGTTACGGCTCGGTGAGTAACGTCTTAAGTTCGGCGCACGCCCCATGGCTGCGCACGCGCGCCTTGGGCGCACGAGACTACACGTGTTCTCTGTAGGGCTGTCAAAAAGGTTAAAAAAAATCAAAAAATATTTATTCACATTATAAGTCTAACTTAAATAACAAAAAAAAACCGCTGCTGTGGTCTAGTGGTAAAACCACCTGCTTCAGACGCAGAGGGCTCGAGGTCTCGCTCGCTCCCGGGTTCGATTCCCAGTGGGAGCTGTTTTTTCTGTTCGGTTTGGTTGGTGGTAGAGCTTGTTATAAGTCCTTGTCCGAGTCTTGTTCTGGCTAGCTACCACCATCTTACCTAAGTCTGTCGCCATAACAACAATGTTAACACATTGTTGTGTTCCGGCAGTTAGAGGTAAAATAGCCAGTTCCTCCGTGGTTGAGGATTCCGGGTGAAGCTCGCTTCCACCTTCGCCCTGATCATCACTTACCATCAGGTGAGATACAGGCCAAGAGCTTCCTCGTTGTGGATAAAAAAATGTCCCATCCTAGACTAGGGTAAACTGAAAGTATCGTGATCTAGAATTTGACCAAATACAGATTATTACGTAAGGTAACTCATATACGGGGAAGTTTTCTTTTACAGGTTAATTTCATTACTACTAAATTACTTTTTCTATGAGATCAACATTGAAATTGATTCAAAAAATTATTTGTTTCTTTATATCGAAAGCCAATAAAGCTGTAATTGATTTATATGGTAAGGTTTTTTTTAATGTTACAGTGCAACGTAGGGATAATTCTAGAAAATCTGTAGTACCTACTAGTACCCGTTAAGACTAAATAATAGAAAAGGACTCATTTCAGCACATCTAGCCGATTGATTGTATTTACATCTTTACGTTAAAAGAGTACAGCTACCATACCTACCTACTTACATGTGATTTTATATTGGTTATTATAGCGAGTATTTTTTCTAAGTTAATTTGAATACTTATTACAATTTATGTGTACTATAGTTTTATAATTTGTTTACGCTACATTAACTAAATTACTAATAAAGTAAATTATTATTACTGTTACTGTTCCAGTAGAGACCACAGATTCAGTGGGGGAGTTGCTGGAGGAATCTGTGGTGAATCCAGAACACTCTTTTGTTCAGTTGAGTTCCAGTCTGGCTTATTTTTACACCCACTGGAACTCAACTGAACAAAAGAGTGTTCTGGATTCACCACAGATTCCTCCAGCAACTCCCCCACGGAATCTGTGGTCTCTACTGGAACAGTAACAGTAATAATAATTTACTTTATTAGTAATTTAGTTAATGTAGCGTAAACAAATTATAAAACTATAGTACACATAAATTGTAATAAGTATTCAAATTAACTTAGAAAAAATACTCGCTATAATAACCAATATAAAATCACATGTAAGTAGGTAGGTATGGTAGCTGTACTCTTTTAACGTAAAGATGTAAATACAATCAATCGGCTAGATGTGCTGAAATGAGTCCTTTTCTATTATTTAGTCTTAACGGGTACTAGTAGGTACTACAGATTTTCTAGAATTATCCCTACGTTGCACTGTAACATTAAAAAAAACCTTACCATATAAATCAATTACAGCTTTATTGGCTTTCGATATAAAGAAACAAATAATTTTTTGAATCAATTTCAATGTTGATCTCATAGAAAAAGTAATTTAGTAGTAATGAAATTAACCTGTAAAAGAAAACTTCCCCGTATATGAGTTACCTTACGTAATAATCTGTATTTGGTCAAATTCTAGATCACGATACTTTCAGTTTACCCTAGTCTAGGATGGGACATTTTTTTATCCACAACGAGGAAGCTCTTGGCCTGTATCTCACCTGATGGTAAGTGATGATCAGGGCGAAGGTGGAAGCGAGCTTCACCCGGAATCCTCAACCACGGAGGAACTGGCTATTTTACCTCTAACTGCCGGAACACAACAATGTGTTAACATTGTTGTTATGGCGACAGACTTAGGTAAGATGGTGGTAGCTAGCCAGAACAAGACTCGGACAAGGACTTATAACAAGCTCTACCACCAACCAAACCGAACAGAAAAAACAGCTCCCACTGGGAATCGAACCCGGGAGCGAGCGAGACCTCGAGCCCTCTGCGTCTGAAGCAGGTGGTTTTACCACTAGACCACAGCAGCGGTTTTTTTTTGTTATTTAAGTTAGACTTATAATGTGAATAAATATTTTTTGATTTTTTTTAACCTTTTTGACAGCCCTACAGAGAACACGTGTAGTCTCGTGCGCCCAAGGCGCGCGTGCGCAGCCATGGGGCGTGCGCCGAACTTAAGACGTTACTCACCGAGCCGTAACCCTGACTCACTCGCCAGCTATGCCCACTATTTGGACAATTCGGATTATACGGACTAAGTTGTCATACTTGACAGCTGTCAAGTGGGATACAAAGTCATTATAAACGATGGAGAATGTGGGACATTAAATTGTTGAGAACTCACGCGCAAAAGGATTATTTTTCTACTTGCATTCTAAGAAAGCTTTCCTGGACGAAGATACAGCTTTTGCTATTGTAGAGATGGAATCGTAGCTGGAAAAGCGGATGATAGCGCTTTCACAGATGGAGAGCCTTGGAGAACTTTGAGCTTTTTAGTAAAATATTCAGTAGAAAGTAAACGAGTTAAAAAGAACTAAGATATTAGACTAAAGTATCAGTACCTCTAGTAGGAAAAACTTTCGAGTTCGTTTCGTTGCGTATTCAAAGTGTCATCGAAAAATTTTGTATGAAAAATTAAACAGCGCCCCCAAGGGCGGCTATAATATAGGGGGCGCTGTTTAATTTTTCATACAAAATTTTTCGATGACACTTTGAATACGCAACGAAACGAACTCGAAAGTTTTTCCTACTAGAGGTACAGTTCTCATTTATCTTTCAGTGCCAACTTAAGTGCAATGTGTGTTACAATAATGATAGCACCAGCTTTAGCCTAAATAATAATTTAATCTCATCTTAACCCTCTCATCAATCGGGACCACTATAATGACAAAACACTCGCGTAAAATAANGTTGTGGATAAAAAATGTTCTGTTCAGTTATTGTCTCTAAACGTGTTCTACGTAACGTACACTTAGTGGATTGCAAACATTAGTTAGTCCTAAGAAAGTCAAAAACATGTAACGGAATCTCCGACTTACTACTTTAGTAGAGCGATTACAGAAAATAATGGCCTATTAAGTACATGTTTTTTTGTGTTATTATGAAAGTTTAGAAAACTGCGCAGTTTTTAAAATTATTTTGGACCTATGGAAATTCTTTTTTTTTCTCATACATTTCAGTTGAAAATTTTAGAATGTTCTGCTAAAAGCATATTTTTTATGTTTCTAGCAAAAATTTTGTATCTTGCATCAAAGATAGGAAGGTGATTATTTTTTTCAAATATCTGCAACTAATAGGGAATCTGTCAAAAAAAGAAATCTGAGAAAAGTCAACCCAAAAAAAGATAAAAAAAAATTAAGCCACTAGGTCATGAAATTTGAAAAAATCACAAAATTAACGATAACTTCTAAACTACGAAAAATCGTAGAACATACATGGGGGTGAAATCGATAGGTCTAGTCCTCACCTATCACCTGCCTTCGGCTTGACACCTTACAAGAAACACCCTGTATAAAAGAAAGTCGTGTTAGTTACTTCGCTTATAACTCAAGAACGGCTGAACCGATTTAGCTGAAAATTGTCAGGGTACCTCCCTAGAGCCAGGAGAAGGACATAGGATACTTTTTATCCCGTTCGAAATAAAAAAAGTCTGCTTATTTATTGCCATTAAGGCGGAACAAAGTTCGCCGGGTCAGCTAGTTATTTCTAAAACGCTTCTATGGATCAGCGGCAAAGAACTTTGCGTGTAACTTAGAGATTCTTGATTCGATTGAAAAAAATTTAATTAAATCTTACTTTTGATAGCCAGTCGTTCTTTCTATTATCGGTAGAATCACATTGCAAGGAAGATTGGATTGAATCAATCTAAGACGTTAATATTTTGTTAAAATGGACCAAAAAAGTTTTAACTAAAGCTACTTCAGCTGGAGTTTTAAAGAGCATTTTAAACACAACAGCAAAATAAAAAAAGATAAAAAAAAACATTTAGTTACAAATCTACATACGAAAGTTGCCAGTTTTTTAATAGCAGTAACAATAAGGCGTACAGCATAATAAATAACAATATAAGTACATGGTTAATTTAAGTATCAATGTGCTAAGCTATGGTTTGTGAATTCATGTATTTTTTTTATCCACAACGAGGAAGCTCTTGGCCTGAATCTCACCTGATGGTAAGTGATGATCAGGCCGAAGGTGGAAGCGAGCTTCACCCGGAATCCTCAACCACGGAGGAACTGGCTATCTTACCTCTTACTGCTGGAACACAACAATGCTGTTAACATTATTGTTATGGCGATAGACTTAGGTAAGATGGTGGTAGCTAGCTAGTCAGGCGGACTCGAACGGCGAACAGAAAAAACTGCCCCTACTGGGAATC